GTCCAACCATCTCGTCCTCTGTCGTCCCCCCTTCTCCTCTTGCCTTCACACTTTCCCAACATCAGGGTCTTTCTCAGGGAGTCTTCTCTTCTCATGAGATGGCCAAAGTATTGGACCCTCAGCTTCAGGATCTGTCCTTCCAGGGAACATTCAGGGTTGATTTCCTTCAGAATGGATAGGTTTGGTCTCCTTGCAGTCCAGGGGACTCTCAAGAGCCTCCTCCAGCACCACATTTCAAAAGCATCAATTCTTTGTAGTTATGCTATGTGTAGTATTTGCTATTATAATAGTGTTTGCTACAGCCCACGTTTCTCAGCATCCATGGGGTGGGAATTGGTCCCCTGCAGATATGGGAATCCTATTGTACAGTATTTATAAAGCGGCAACCATGTTAACATAGGGAGCCATCGGGATTCCTTCCTCTGGGGCAGCTGATGCACGGTGGCTCTGCTGTGAAGGAAATCTCTCTCGAGTAGACCCAGGGTTCTTGTTGACCTGCCTTTCCCAAGCTCTCGGGCTGGATTTAAGAGCGGTCTCAAAGATGGTGTTCTTGAGATACCCTTTAGTTCTTTATCACCCACTCATCTGAAAAATAGTGCAGCAAAACCAGAAGCTCGCTTGTAAAATGTAATTCATGGTCATTAACTTGTTATGATGCTTAAAAAGTGGTTGTCCTTCCAGTGCTAGGAGAGTGATTAGTTATATTGCCTGTTGCTTTTCTGTTACTTTCCACTGCTTCCTTTGAAAGGTAAAACAGGCTTGGCAAGAGAAGGGCGTAAAAACTTGAAAACTTTCCCATCGAAATGCCTTAAAAACGCTAATAAAAAGTAATATTCAAAAGTAGCTGTAGACATTATTTGGTGCATGGCTAGGGGTTCTTGCTCATCACTTTTAATTTGTGTTTTCATTATATCTCCATTACCTGCTGAAAGCAACTTTTTATACAGTAAGTGGCCACTTGCTGTTCGTTTACGCCCAAGCTCTGTGCAAAGCAATAAATGCTTATTATCTTAATTTCATATTTTTGAGTTCCTGGAAGTACATCATTAGAAGACAAAAACCTGGATTTTTGGTCTGAGACATCAGATTGCTTCTGGTCTGCCCACATAACACAACTGAGCATGATCGTGTGGTGGACCGAGTAGGTCTTCTTCTGCACACAGCTGTCCTCTGGTGGCGTTGGTCCGAGAAGTGAGGAGATGAAGCCGAGGGGTGAGGATTTTACGGCTCAGTCCAGTTTGGACGTTTGCAAAATCTAGGACAGGTGCAGAACCTGGAAAATGTTATTTCCTTGGAGAGTAAGCCCCATCATCCTCCCGCAAGCCTGGATCTGGCTTCCTCTGGTACCTTCTCCTCTCCCTGCGAAACCCCAAAGGTAGAGTTGTGAGCGAAATGTTTTGTTCCTATGAAAGAGAGCCCGCGTTTGGGTGTTTGCCTGAGAGATGTGGAGGAAGTTCTATGTTATGCACTTTGGTTATATGCCTCTTGTTTTCATACCACGGGAGGAAGTAGAGCAGCCTTTCTAGCCCACATTAGGCAGGGTGTTTTTCAAGACACCAAAGAAATGTTTTTTTTAAAAAAACCACTTCTTGTGCTAGCGTGATAAGGCCTGCGGCTTGTTCTGGCTCTGATGGCCAGCCAAATTCTTGAGTTGCTCTCTAAATTCAAAATACAGATGATGGCCACTGTACTAAGCAGAGTATGGGTTATAGCAAATATGTGTACCAAGGTTCAGGTAGGGTAAAAATAGGTGATTTTTAAGGGAGAAAAAACTTTAAAAAAAAATAAGATCCATACCAGTCTTTTACATTTTTAGAATTTAAAAAGAAATGTTAATGTTCCATAAAAATAACTTAGGTTAAATTACATCTCATAATATAGGTATGTATTTCCGTGATCACATTTAAAAAAAGAATCTGAAATCTGTTGAACGTACCAAGGTCCTAAAATAACTAAATATCTTTAAGCCCAATGGTTTTGGAGAGTTCAAAGCACATGGTTCGGTTTCCAGCATTTGCTTAAACCTTTCCCGTGGAAACCAGTGTGGCTTAAAAAGGCTGACCTGTTTTTCAGATCAGATTCATTGAAATTTGATTTTTCTATGCAAAAGAACAAGCTGGATAAAAAAAAATTGGCTTCTGGAATCAAGTCTTGCCTGTGATGTTTATATGCCTGTTGTCATCCGATGGCATTTTATATCCAGAGGGTGAATATGGGTTGTTTTGCTTAGTAAGTACCAACTGTTCTTCCTGAGAGATTCTGGGCAGTTGGTCTTCAAGTATGGGATTTTATTTGATGTCCCTTCAGATACACAGAAAGATACAAATGTCCTAAATTTCACAGTTGTTTTTCTAAATGGATAGATTTTCTAGTTTTCTCTTCTGCAAGGATCTCCGTATCCATGGGATCAGTATCCACCATTTTACATATCCTCAGTCTGAAAATATTAAAAATATTTTTTGAAAAGAACTAGAAATGCGTATTTTGACCATGTATTTACCAGAACTGGCCCCTAGAGGGAGCCAGATATGATACTGTTCTTTTTCTTTTCTTTTCGTTTAGTCGTGTCCGACTGCGTGACCCCATCCTATTATAGTGTTTAATGTTATCCATGGTTTTCAGCATCCACGAGGGGCCTTGAAACCAATCCCCTGTGGATATAGGGATCCTACTTGATGATGAAGAAGTAACTGCTTCCAGATAGCACAGCCAACATGTCAAGCTGTTTGATGGTTTCTGGGAGTTGCCCTTCCAAAAAAGTAATATTTCCATTCCCTACTCTGGGCATTATAATCATCAAAGAGTATTCTGGCATCTTTAATGCTAACACATTGGCATGAATTTCTGTGGCCTCAGCCAGCTTCTTCTGACAAATGGAATGCAAGTCACAGGTTTACATGCACCCTGGTTCTACTTACAGAGGTGGAACACAACAAAACAAGACACAGAAAGTGACAGTAGCATTAGCAACACTGGTTATAAACTTTCACTGGCTAAGCTGGTTAACAGAAGCATCCTGGAGATGAATGAGCTCAGCTACCTAAGTCAATTAACCTCTAAGGTGTTAAAGCATCCATTTCTGCTTTAAAAGATTGTCTATTTTAAGTGAAGCTAGGAGTGACCTGTTTTTTTCTGTTGAATAAATCATTTTTACTATGCAGGATGGAGAGATAATACCGACAAACCGTGCATGGATAAGATGATTAATCTAACTTAAAAAGCCCCTTGCCTGTGTTCAGCCCAAGGGAGGTAGATGTGTTCTGGTTGAATTAATGTGTTCTTTTTGTTCAGCAGTTTTTCCTTTGGAAACTGCCTCTGATGCTCTTCGGTGCAAGGAGAGCTACCTTGAGGTGAGAGATAGGTTGTCCAGGGAATCTGAAGTCTTCTCTCGGTGATATCTGAATATTACTATTTTTCTCAGTCTCTCTGAGATGGCTGTTCTGACATTAACTCATGCTCGCTGAGATCCTGCAACTTGAGATGTCCTCCAGTTCCTTTGGATTGCAACTCCAATTATACCCAGTGCTTGGGATGGGGGAATTTCTGCCCAAACTGTTTGGAGGAGGACAGATTGAAAGGGCTTTGCCAGCTGTTTGGAATTCTCTGCAGAGGAATTTCCCACAATGGATGCCTGGCTATTTTGCCAATTGTTTAAGAAGCTCCTCTACCTCCCTTGGGGAAACCCACCTTCCCTTCCATCAGTCGTACATCTCATTCCTTAAATGAGCCAAAAGCTGGGATGCAGATGGATTCTCCTTTCCTCTCCCCTCCCCATCCCACTAACTGATCCCGAGAATTGTGATTCTTGGAAACGGGACATGGCTCGGAGTTTGCAAAAGTGAAGTTCTCTCGGTGCTTAGCAAAGGCTGGAGAAGAAGGTGTTGAAATCTCTTGGGTTTCTGCACAAGAGGCTGTGACAGCTAGTAAAACGTGTGTTCGTATTTTTAAACCTGTTGGCGCCAGTCTGTATACAGGTCTAAATAATGAAGTATAAAGGGGTTTAATTGCAGATAAAAAATGTGGAGCAAGGGGGCAAGACTCTGAGAGAGCTTAAACACATTTGACAGCTATTTGGGATTCTTCCCCCCCCCTTAAATACCTTTCTGACTCATTGCACCAGCTCCTTGACCCGCACCCCACACACCACCGCACTCTTGGCTGTCTTCCCATCTTTATATTTACCTTTTAGCAATTATTCTGCGGATCAGGACTGGAAGCCAACATTGGCTCATGGGGAGAGAAGAGGTTGTATATCTTATGAAGGGCGGCATCCATACCTCAGGCCCCCCTCTGCTTTTCTCCTGCCAAAAAGCCCCCCAAAAATTAACCTTTGGCCCTCTCACTGCTCCTTTCAGGGAGCTTAATCTCATCTGGGGTAAGAAAGCTTTGGCCCTCTAGATATTTGCAGGACAACACCCACAACTCTTTTCTTTTGACCACATTAGATTAGGTTGATGGGAGTTGCAGGTGAAAAGATTTAAAGGGCCACAACTTCCCTGCCTGGGTCTAATTCCACCTAGTTCTTTTCGTTGCTGTTGTTGTTTGTTATCATTCACTTGTAAGAATGGTTAGGAGACTCTGCTGTCTGTGGTCCGGAAAAATAACTTTTCCATGCTCTTTTCTCATTTCTCTCCCTGCGCCACAAGTAGATCAAAGTGCTTGAAAGGTAGTCCTACAGAGAAGGAGCAGGATCTGTTTTCGATCATCCCAGAGTGCGGGATGGGATGGGCTCAAGCTACCAGGAGCCAGGCTGAATATCAAGAAAAAAAAATTCCTAACTGTTAGAGCAGTAAGTATGACAATGGAACCCAGTGCGGTGAGTGTTGCAACGCTGGAGGCCTTCAAGAGAAAACCGGACCACCCTCTGTCCAATCTGCTTTGATTTGTTGTGCTGTCTTGAGCAGGGGGTTGGACTTGATGGCCTTAGAGGCCCCTTCCAACTGCATGATTCTGTGACCCAGGAAGTTGTGTTCGATTCCTTGAAACCTTGACTGACCGCTCTCCAGTGTTGGAGGATGAACTCTTGGGCCAACAAGGTGACCCTTAATGAGATGCGGGTTCTTGATGTTGTAGAATTGCCTTTCTAGGCCGCAGAAGTGCTGTTACAAAAGCTGGTCCTCTGCTGCTTACTGTATTGTATTCCTAACTGTGTTTGCGTTGGGCGTCTGTTGTGTGTTTGGCTAGGAAGAGGTCACTCAGCTTCAAGGTCGTCTTTAATTGTCCTGATTCCCAAGCCAAGGGACTTTGTTTCCATGCTTACCGTCTGAAGATAACAGCAGGGACGGGCTCCCGCAATTCTTTTCATGAAGAAGGGGGGCTTTTTCAAGGACCTTCCGGTCTTGCAAGTGCAAAATCAAGCCGGCTGCCCAAAGTACGGGTTTGCCTTTGTTTGTTTTGAAGTGGGGAGTACAATGCCTCGCTTGACCAGCGAGGGCTGTAATTGTGGAACTCTCCCTTGTCAAACAGCCTGGCCTTTTTTTCTCTCTCTCTGCAGGCCTGGCTTTAAAAAAAACACTTATAAAGAGATGGGAGTCTGGGAAACTGGGTTAATGATCAACTCAAAAATGCACGGTTAGATCTGTCTTGCACCCCCCACCCCCTGCCGGGAATGCTTAATTAATATGTGCAGAGCATGTGGTTCGCATCTACAAACGGTCCCTGTTGTTGTTTCAAATTAACCTGTAACGTGTTCACAAGCACGTCTATAAATAGCGGCCGCTGACTTGCATATGGTTAACGTAGCAGCAACACTGTGCAGCAGCTTTTGCACATGGCGAAAGCGCAGGGACAGAGGTGGGGGGGGGAGTAAGTCTCACCATCATCATCGGCAGAGCTGGAAGGCACTCCTGTGGGATCGTAGGGTCCAGCCCCTGTCCAGGTCTTATGGGATCGTAGGGTCCAGCCCCTGTCCAGGAAGCCCAGTGGGGGAATTGAACTCCCAACCCACTGGCTCTGCATACAGAGACCCAAACCACTGAGTGCTCCAGTAGTTCTTGCAACCATAGTTATATTGGAAGTTTTTGAACCTTTTCCTCTTCAAGCTAGGAAGATTAATGTCGACATCGTCAAGGTGGGTTTATGGGTTCAGGAGACCAGGAGCAGACATTTCAGTCCTGTAATAGGTTCCCGTCTGTGGCTTCCCATCTGTCATTTTATATCTAGGCAAACTTCCTTTTTCTGCACTCTGGACTTGTGGAGCTACATCCGAAGGGTAAATTTTTAACTTGGTGGTTGGATTTTCTTAATGCGGGGGCGATGGCTCTTCCCATTTGAGCAACAGTTTCTCTGGGAATATTCAGAAACGTGCCTTTCAGTGCTTCTGCAAAGACTTTTGACATGCCTTCCACTCTTCTATCTATCTGAAAGAAGACGCCACTTGTATTAAATGTCAAAAATGGGTAGGGAAGAAAAGTATGCAGAATATGACCCGCAAGGGAGAAGTCGCCATAAATTACCAGTTGTCACAATAATTTATTGGCTACAGTATGTGGCTAGAACTCAGGACACCTGGATTCAGATCCATCATCATCATCATCATCATCATCATCATCCGTCAAGTCAGTCCTGACTTATGGCAACCCATAAGTGGCTCAGTAGTTAAACTGGAGTATTGCAGTCAAAACTCTCTTTGTGAGTTGGGTTCAATCCCAGGTAGCTGCCTTGAGGTTCGTGGCTCAGTAGTATTGCAGTCAAAACTGTGTTTATGAGTTGGGTTCAATCCCAAGTAGCTGGCTTGAGGTTCACTCAGCTTCCATCCTTCCGAGGTCAGTATAATGAGTATCCAGCTTTCTCTCTCTGTGTGTGTCTGTATGTGTATATGGCAATGTGTTGCCTACATAATTAAATTGGTGCATCTGTATGTGTGTGTGGCAATGTGTTGCCTGCATAATTAAATTGTAAACCGCCCAGAGAGTGCTTTAAGCGCGATGGGACGGTTGATAAGCAGCACGCTTTGCTTTTTCGTAGTTTCTCAATCTGGGCTACCTACCTTGCAAGATTGTTGTAAGCCATTTGTGGCTCACTGTGGAAGGAGCTGTGGTGGGGAAAAAAAAACAGAGTATGCTTTTTAGTGCTGAGAGCTTCCCAATTGCCTTAGCAAGTGAGATAACAGCAGTGGGAATCCGGGAGCAGCCACCACTTCGAAAATCAGACCGTTCTGGATTACATAACAGCAGTGGGAATCCGGGAGCAGCTACCACCGCGCAGTGGCAGCACTTCGAAAATCAGACCGTTCTGGATTACAGTTCCCATCCTAATAACTCGGTGATCCATAGGATCCCTTCCACCTCTGCAGTTCTAAGATGATGATGATTAAATGGTTCTTCCTTGTCCCCCACTCCCACACCCCAGATGCCTCCTTGGGGTGGATGGAGAAATTCCTTGGTGGCCTTATGCCATGTGAATTTCCAGCCGCCCAGGTTTGCGTGACGTCTCAAAGAGGTTCTTGGCCTGAGTTTCAGCAAGCGGTTCCTTCCGGGCTGGCTGCCTCTTCCGAGTTGCTGAGCGGATCCATCCAAGGGAACATTTCACTCCTCCTGACGGGTGGGATCGGAAACGTGTGCAGCCTCCGATAAAAGAGAGCCTGTTTTAAAAAGCCTCGTTTCTGGAATATGGCCCCTTGGGCAGGATTTTTCTTTCATGGAGTCTTTTGTAAATAAATTGGGTTTGTTTGGATTTTTATTTTATTTTTTTTGCACACCAGAGATATGTACCCTGCAGACCTATCGTTTCAATCCTGGAGGTTTTTTTCCTCTCTCTGTAGGTTTATTTTCTCCGTACAAAAAGCGGGCAGAGTTCAGCAAGGTCAGCCGTTCAGCTGCCTTGGACATTCCCCAGATGTTTCTCCCAAGGGAGAGAAGGACCCTCTTGATTTCCTCCCAGACTCTTAACAGTGTGTAGCAATGTTCTTTCTAAAAGAAAGCAAAAATAGCAGCTGGAAACACATACTCGGAGAGCCTGATTTGAATGTCTCCTCCCTTCCGTGTTCCGTCTTAAAACAGGTATTAAATGCAGACTTCAGAATTACACCGGCATCAAATTTTAGGGGCAGATGATTGCATAATCTAGCCCCTTTCTTGCCAATGGAGCAGATCTGTCGTTGAAGCAAGGGAGTCTTCTGCCTCCTCTTTGCTTTGTACTATCAGTATCACTGCCGTATCTTTATTGGCATAATAAAATAAAATAAAAAGGTAAATGGGAAACCTATAAACAAATGACATCCAGCCAGTCAAAGGATTCAGTAGAAGATCCATAAGCAAATGGAAGGCGAATTATCCAATAAAGGCCCAGTTGATGGGATTGGGTGTGAGGGTGATGTGGCTGTGACACCTGTCAGTCCTTTGATTGCCAGGGTTGATTCGGCTGATCTGGCTGGCTGGGGTGTGTGTGTCCCCTTCCTCCCTCGACCTTCCATGTGTGTCCCTCCTGAAGCTGCCTCGTCAATGGAAGAGGATGACCCTCCCAGATAGAAGGAGCCAACCGGCCTTTGGTCAAGGGTATACGGTAGCTGCGCTGGAACCTTTTGCTTTGTTTACACCCAGGCTGATTAAAGGTACTGTTGTAGAAGTCAAAAGCTTGCACACTGGTTTTGTGAGGGTGTGATAAAGGTGTTGCTGTAATAAATCGAATTTCTCCTGTTTTCCAGTGTATCATTGCCCTCTGCTGGTTAGATTTTTGTCTTTTGTTTTAGTCTATCCCCTGCTCAGTTCAGGAATCCAAATCCAAGCTGATCTGACAGATGGTTCTCCCCGTCTCTTCCCTCTGAGGTCATGGGTTCCCTTGTTGTACTGCTCTAACAGTTAAGATGTTTTTCCTGATATTCAGCCTCAATCTGGCTTCCTGTCACTTGAGCCCATGGTTGCCTGTCCTGCACTCTGGGATGATCGAGAAGAGATCCTGCCCCTTCTCTGGATGAATATCTTTCAAGTCTTTGAAAAGTACTATCGTATCTCCCCTCAGTCTTCTTTTCTCAAGGCTAAATGATGCCCACTTTTCCCCGTCTCTCCTCTTAGGTCTTGGTTTCCAGTCCCCTGATTATTATCCTTGTTGACCTCTTCTGAACTTGCTCCAGTTTGTTGGCATCCTTTTAAAAATGTGGTGTCCAGAACTGGATACTGTACTCTGAGGAGGCCTAGCCAGTGCTGAATAGAGAGGGGGGGCTATAACCCATAACCCAGCCAGGACACTAGCCAGTTTAGCACAGTGGCAGTCCGTGATCTACTGTTTCTGTACACTTCCCTGCTTCTTCTGAACCTCATGGGGTTCCATGTGCCAGATTCGGTGCACAATTATCACCCCCTTTGCCTCTTGAACCTCTGGCTCGATTTCACCAGAGAGCGGATGGTCTGCCTTTCCAGATTTACAATACTTAGGGCAGGACAGAGAAGGCTTCTTTCTTGAGACCATGTGTGGATGCACAGCAGCTTTGCAAAGCAGTTCTTTTTAGGTTTCTCTATCTTGATTTGGGTTTTGCAGACACGCGAAGGATATTTCAGTGTTGGGA